CTCTGCGCGGGGCCGGAAGAGAATCGAAGATCGAGAGGGAGGGAGGGAGGGAGGATCGAGGATCGAGGAGAGAGGGAGGGAGGGTGCAGGAGGATCTAGGATCGAGGATCGAGAGGGAGGGAGGGAGGGAGGGAGGGATGATCGAAGGGGGAGCCCTGACTTCGGATCCGCCGTGCCTTGTTAGATTATTCTATTTAAAACTGTGCCGGAAAAGCGCCCCAAACGATGCGAAACAATAGGTCGAAACTGTCTGCATCAGTCGGGGCTGATAACTCTGCAAAAAAAATTGCGGAAACAGCGACGGCAACGTAGGGCGGAAATCGGGGCGAGAGTTTCCGCCCTGCTCGCAAAATCGCCCAACGTGCGGCGGATCCGGAGTCAGGGAAGGAGGAAGGGAGCGAGGATCGAGGATCGAGGAGGATCGAGGAGGATCGAGGATGGATGAGGATCGAATCGGATCGAGGAGGATTGAGGGAGGGAGGGAGGAGACAGGATCGAGGATCGAGGAGGGAGGGAGGGGGCAGGAGGATCGAGGATCGAGGAGGGAGGAGGGGAGGGAGGGAGGACCAGGAGGGAGCAGCCCGAGGTCGGGCGCCTCTTGCAGAGGAGGGGAGGGGGGGCACGACGAGGGGGATCGTGCTCTCCGCATCCTCCAGGCCACGATGACCCAAGGATTGCAAAAAAAAAAAACCCAGGATTGCAAAAAAAAACCCAGGATTGCAAAAAAACCCAGGATTGCAAAAAGGATTGCAAAAAAACCCTTCGAAGGGTTTTTTTTTGCAATCCTTCGTTCAAAGTCTCCGACGATGTGATGGTTGCAACCCCGGCTCTTTCGCTCGAGCTCGGCCCCTGGGGCTCGTTTTGTCGGGCTCCAGAACCATCACAGATGGATCCAGGACGCCCTGCAGGAGAGGGGGGGGGCCACGAGAGGAGGATCTTTTGTCCTCTACGTCGTCCAGATGACGATGGCTGCCCTGCCCCCACCTCTCATCCGAGGGGCAACGTAAGGGCAGACTGGCTCAGGGGGTGCTGGGGAAACATCGAGCGTGAATCGGCGATACACGTCGTTCATGTCTAATCGTGCTCATTTCTAGTTGTGCTCGCTTCTAATTGTCTAATTGTTCCTGGCCGCCTAGTGGCCAGGAAGAGGACCAGGATAGAACAATTAGAAATGACAGGATCTTGGCCCCCAAAAAAATCCGCCGGCCCCCTTGCGGGGCCACCAGGCTGCGAGGATTAAGGTTGCTGCTCCCTGCGCCAGTTCCAGTTTCCAGTTTCCATTGTCACAATACTGTTTTCTGCTTCCTACTGTAAATTGTTACTGTCCGCGCGAGGGGGGGGAGCCGAAAAGGGCCCTGGTTAGCGTTCCCTGAGAGGGTTCTCAGAATTTCTGGAGGGGCGTGGGACACGTAAAACATGATCGACCCACGAACCCGGAAAGGAATATAGAACTGTAACACATGGCAGCGTTTTCAAAGACACCTGATTGGGTGACGGGCAAATGCAATGCTGAGTGTATCGATCTTGATGTACCCTGCCGAAGGCTGTGCTGTGCTGCACCGTGCTGAATTGCGATGCGCCATGCCGCGAATGTGCTCTATAGCGTCATGGATCGAGTCCTCCTTTGCATCCGAGTCCTGACCGAACTGATCTGGATCTTTTAAGCTCGCGCTGCCTGAACACATAGTAGCTGCCCCAGAGCTGATGGACAGGGGAGCATGTCAGGAGGACGCGTCGCGAAACGTCCCAAGGGATGCGCCAGGCGACGTGCCAAGGGACATGCCATGGGGTCGCACCGCGGGACGTGCCAAGGGGACGCGCTACGGAACGTGCCAATGGATCTGCCACGGGATGTGCCAGGGGACGCGCCACGCGACGTGCCAGGGAGACTCGCCAAGGGACGCGCCACGGAACGTGCCAAGGAACGTGCCGAGTTGCAATGCTGAGTGTATCGATATTGATGTACTGTGCCGATATATGTGCTGTGCTGCGCCGTCCTGAATTGCGAAGCGCCATGCCGCGATTGTGCTCTATAGCCTCGTGGATCGAGTCCTCCTTTGCATCCGAGTCCTGACCGAACTGATCTGGATCTTAAGCTCGAGCTGCCTGAACACAGAGTAGCTGCCCCAGAGCTAATTGACAGGGGGACATGCCAGGAGGACGCGCCGAGGAACGTCTCAAGGGACGCGCCAAGCGACGTGCCAGGGGACGTGCCATGGGCACGCACCGCGGGACGTGCCAAGGGGACGCGCTACGGAACGTGCTGGGGACAAGCGTTTCGCTCGAGACATCCGGTCAAAATCCAAGGAAATCCTGGCGCAACTAACAAATTAATCTAGACACATTCTCGAAATTCCTGCGCGCGGGACGCGGCGTGCGCGAGACATCCTCGGAATTCCTGCGAGCGGGACCTGAAAACAAGCATTTTGCCCGAGACATCCTCTGAATTCTGGCCCCCCACGAGGCCCCCGCTCGAGACATCCCCCAATTTTGCAAAACCAGTGTTTCGCTCGAGACATCTTCAACAACTTATGGAAATTTTGCAAAGTCAGCGTTTCGCTCGAAACATCTTCAACAAATTATGACAAACAAGCATTTCGCTCGAGACATCCTGCCAAAATTCAAGGAAATCCTGGCAAAACAAACGAATTAGTCGAGACATCCTCGAAATTCCTGCGCGCGGGACGCGGCACGCGCGAAACATCATCGGAATTCCTGCGCACGGAGCGTTTTTCCGCGTCGCGGTCGGCTCTGCAAAACCAGCGTTTCGCTCGAGACATCCTCAACAAATTCTGAAAACAAGCGTTTCGCTCGAGACATCCCCAACTCTGCAAAACCAGCGTTTCGCTCGAGACATCCTCAACAAATTCTGAAAAACATGATGGACCCACGAACCCGGAAAGGGATATAGACATGTGGAGCATGGACACGTTTTCATGATACCCAACTGGGCAACACCTCACGAAACATCCCACGAGACACCTCACGAAACAGCCCACGAGACACCTCACGAAACATTCCACGAGACACCTCACGAAACATTTCACGAGACACCCCGCGAAACATTCCACGAGACACCCCACGAAACATTCCACGACGACAGGCAACCACTCAACCAAGGCGGTGTGGTCGTGCTGGGGAGTGGTCGTGCTGGGGTGTGGTCGTGCTGGGGTGTGGTCGTGCTGGGGTGTGGTCGTGCTGGGGGGGTGGTCGTGCTGGGGGGTGGTCGTGCTGGGGCGTGGTCGTGCTGGGGCGTGGTCGTGCTGGGGCGTGGTCGTGCTGGGGCGTGGTCGTGCTGGGGCGTGGTCGTGCTGGGGTGTGGTCGTGCTGTGGTAAGGTCGTGCTGGGGTGCGGTCGTGCTGGGGTGTGGTCTTGCTGGGGTGGGGTCGTGCTGGGGTGTGATCGTGCTGGGGTGGGGTGCGTGCTGGGCTGGGGTGTGGTCGTGCTGGGGTGTGGTCGTGCTGGGGTGGGGTCGTGCTGGGGTGGGGTCGTGCTGGGGTGTGGTCGTGCTGGGGTGTGGTCGTGCTGGGGTATGGTCGTGCTGGGGTGGGGTCGTGCTGGGGTGGGGTCGTGCTGGGGTGGGTTCGTGCTGGGGTGCTCCGCACCCTGTGATTATCGATCGGGTCGTGCTGGGGTGTGGTCGTGCTGGTGCTGGGGTGTGGTCGTGCGGGGGTGTGGTCGTGCTGGGGTGTGGTCGTGCTGAGGTGTGTTCGTGCTGGGGTGTGGTCGTGCTGGGGTGGACGGCTGGGGGTGTCCCGTGCTCGGGGTGGTCGTGCTGGGGGGGTGGTCGTGCTGGGGGGTGGTCCCTGCTGGGGCTTGTCGGTGCTGGGATCGATGTCGTGCTGGGGCGTGGTCGTGCTGGGGTGTGGTCGTGCTGTGGTTAGGTCGTGCTGGGGTGTGGTCGTGCTGGGGTGTGGTCTTGCTGGGGTAGGGTCGTGCTGGGGTCGGGTCGTGCTGGGGTGTGGTCGTGCTGGGGTATGGTCGTGCTGGGGTGGGGTCGTGCTGGGGTGGGGTCGTGCTGGGTCTGGTCGTGCTGGGGTGTGGTCGTGCTGGGGTATGGTCGTGCTAGGGTGGGGTCGTGCATTTCGCTCGAGACATCCTGCCAAAATTCCAGGAAATCGTACAAAAACAAACGAATTAGTCGAGACATCATCGTGAAATCCTTCGCGCGGGGGCGCTTTTCCGCGTCGCGGTCGGCTCTCAAAACAAGCGTTTCGCTCTGAGACATCTGCACTCAACTCTGACTCTGCGGAGCAAGCGTTTTTATCGCTCGTGATGCGCGATCCTCAACGCGCACGAAAAGTGGCCCGCACACCACTGTATTTATCGATCGGGATTTCAAAAACAAGCGTTTCGCTCGAGACATCCTCAAATTTTAATTCGCCGGCATCCTTCGACCTCGTTATTTATCAGGGAAAAAATTCGCCGGCCTCCTTCAAGTTGGCACCGGGGGACAGGTTTACCCACTAAAAGAGAACCCTGGGCCCATGCCCTTTCCGGGAACAAGCGTTTGGGACATCCTCAAAAATAATTCAGCGGGCCCACCTCGACCTCGATATTTATGAATGAATAATTCCGCCGGCCCACCTCAAGTCAGGTCCGGGGGTAAACAGCTAAAAAAGAACCATGGGCCTAAGACCTTTCCGGGAATGGGGGGGCGTGGGACACGTAAAAATACAAGAGTTTCGTGCCCCCCAAGCCATAATCCCTTGCAAATTACATTGTATTCGCGCCCCCGAGGCCACGATCCCTAGTAAATTACACCGCGTTCGCGTCTCCGAGGCCACGATCCCTTGTAATTTACACTACAGTTGCGTCTCCGAAGCCACGATCCCTGGTAAATTACAGCACATTCGCGCCCTCGAGGCCACGATCCCTTGCAATTTACACTACATTCGCGCACCCGAAGCCACGATCCTATATAATTTACTTAATTTTCGCGCCCCCGAGGCCACGATCCCTTATGAATTATAACAGATTCGCGCCCCTGACGCCACGAT